TAGGGAAAGCAGCTTCCTGGAAAATGAAGACAAGGTGTGCCATTAATCTACTTGCATCTGCAATTAAGATCACTCACCTTTCTAAGCAAGAAAGACAGGATTCAGGTTTGCTGAAGGGTAACCTTATAACACTTCCTCAGAATCCCAAATAACCTATCAGATAATTGGTGTAATTAGGCCTCAGAGAAAAAAAAAAAAAAAAACAGGTGGTGAAGCCGCTGATCCAGGCAAGCTTCACCCTGATTCATGTCCCTGCCCACAAAGACCTGTAATTTACGCTAACAAGACACAGGGCACGAAAACAAGGCAGATGAGATGGATGGAAAGCCTAGGCTACCAATATTACACCACCACAGAAAGAAAACCGACAGGCCTTAGAGTTAACCCATTTCTTTCTTTTTTTTTTTTTTTTAAATCTCCTGTGACCTCCACGATCCTTGGTCCCAAAGAAAATAAAGACCATGTTTTGACTTTGATGACTTGTGGGCCCCAAGATTTGTAACTCAAAATGTTATCACATCTTAGAGCCCTAGAGAGGTTACAGGAATTACCCAAACACACAGCTACTTACTGGGTAAGACATAGGTGCCATTTAATTCAGCTAAACTCTACTGCTGTTAACTGAGTGCAAGCTAGGAACACATGCAGAAGTGTTAACCGTAGTTCACTGAGCCACTGCTTGGTTGGTTGGGTGGCGGAATAGATTCCAGCTGTCTCTGATTTACCCAGCTTGAAAACAGAGATAGACAGCAGTACTTTTTCAGCCTGTGGAAGGAACCCTTACTCTAACAAGTAACTTTACTATAGCACCCACAATGTTCATCCTAAATATTCTGTGCAAAGCTTCTCAAAGTTCCTGCCGCCACTGTGGGACCCCAGGCCCTCCTACATTCTGGGGCAAACACTCCCCTCCAGCCCCAGCTGGCAGAGGCTCCACACCCTAGTCCGGGGTAGCAGGTCTCTCAGCCCTGGCTATGGAGGACCACCTGTGCTGCTTTCCCCCCATTCTCCAGAAGTCTAAGCCGGCGGCCTGAACATCCTCATTGGGAATATGCTGCAATGGAACCCTGGTACATTTATTTTGAAAAAGCCGTAACGGTGATGTCGGGCAGCCGGGGTTGAAAACTACTAGGGGACCGACCTTCACGACTGTGGGATTAATGAGAAGGTGGAGTCCCTGAGGAGAGCCTGGGGCAGAGCAACTACCAACCTCATCCGAGGGCTCCTTCCCTGGGAGAGGTGGGGTTTAAGAAATTACTGTTTTTAAAAGCTTCTCAAGTTGGATGGGACAGGAATGAGAGGCTTGACCGACAAGTGATTTTGAACATAAAGTCAAGCAGGTAAGTCATTCAGGTTCCTGGATCTTAACAGGAGCTGGCAAATCGCACCCATCCTTCTGTCTAATGTCTTCTGTCACGGACGCGCCCGCCTGCCCCGTTTTTCACTTCACCTCTGGGCCTCACTGTGAACATCTGTGAAAAGTAGAGGGGCCAGGATCTAGGTGCCTGAAACCCCTTCCCTCCCAAACTGCATGACAGGAGAACTGCGAATTCTCTTCCCCTTCATACCTTCAGCCGCGGTGGGTGCCTGGGGCAGCGGAACCCTCTGGCTGCAGACAGAGCAGTGCGTGAAGGGGCAGGGGCTGTCTCAGGGTAAACCAGGAGCACCTTACTGCATTGACCACCCCCCCCCCGCACCGCTCCCAGCACAGCAGGGGTTGGGGGTGGGTCTTCTGGGAAGTAAGGTTCACACCCCCTCCCATGATGCTGTGACAATAACACAAAACTCCATCTCCTCCCTGCATATTAGGGGTTGTTTATCTGAGGACAAGAAAGAAATATACGACATCTTGCTGCTGGTTAACAGCTTTGACTAGAAGAGAACAGGGGGCCGAGAGGCAACGTCAACTTCGCTGTGAACCCAGGGGAAACATTTGGTCCGAGGATACAAGCAAAGGGGAAAGGTTTGCCATAGTCTGCGGGCTCAGCGACCAAGGCTCAGTTCTTTCCGAGGTAAACAAGAGGTAATCAAATCAACACAGAGCAGAGGACAAGTGTCGCCCCAGCCACCAATCCCTGCTCGGATTCAGTTTCCCAGAGCGGCCGAGGCCCCACGTGACTCCTCCCACACCGGGCGGCCGGGGAGCGAGTGCCCCGCAGCACGTATCCCGGAGAGCGCAGCCCGGAGAATCCTCGACACTTTCCACTCAGCGTGTAACTGTCTTTTTATAGAATACACAAAACAGAAAAATCTTTTAACCCACGAGCTGGCACTCTGCATTGCTAATGACTCAGCAGTTTGGTCTGCCAATCGAGGACCGAAGATGGAGCCGCTCAGGACACTCCGAACTCTTCCCGACAAATCTGACCCACTAATAAAACAGACCGTATTAGCAACTAAGTAGTTTGATAACGGGGCTGACTTTAAAAGACAGTTTACAAAACACTCCTTGGATCTTCTGTAAGACAAAAGATTCAATCCCTTAATCTGTTTCAAAGAAAGCAGTCACTGTCGAAATTTAAAGAGCGATTGCAGGATTTTTAAGCTGCGGTTGTAGTTTTAAATTATACAACGCAGTAGACCAAGTCTTGCCTAGTGAAATCTTGTTTTGAGGAATACGAGAAACTAGTAGCTCAAATCCCGACAGTATAAAGATTTTTAAATCTTAACGAAACTTTAAAATTCACTCTCTAAGGCTTCAACGGCCCTCTCCAAAACTTATTTACGAGCTCCCGCCGCCGCCTGAAGTGTTGCTTCAGAGAATAAAGGTCGGCGGCCGGCCCCTCCTCCAACCCGTGGGCCTCGGGCTCCTCACCGGGGCCGGAGGCGGCGGCCCGGGGGCGGCCCCGCGGGGCCAGAGCCGGGTGGGTCAAGGCCGCCTCCGGCCCCGGCTTCCCAGGAGGGGGCGGGGTGTACGCACCGCGGCCACGGGGCCTCGTGCTCCCCCGCGCAGATCAACCCCGAGCTGGGCTCTGAACGACCCCCGGACGAGCGAACGTAAATAAGGAAAGACCAGCCGCGCCCCCGGCCCAGCGTTTTCAGAGTTCTTCCTCTCACGGCGGCTCGCCCCGAATCCCGGGACCCCGTCCTCCCCAGCCACTCCGGACCGAGCCGCGGACGGCTCACAACCCGAGTCCACGAGTCCAACCGCAAGTCTGGGCGCCTGCTCGCCGGCAGCGGCACCGGCACCGAAACCAGCACCGGGCTGCACCTCGGAAGACCAGGCACCGCGCGGGCTTGGGACGCCGTCGGCGCCTCGGTCGCCCCGACCCGGAGACGGGGGCCCCTCCGCAGGCCCCTCCTCTGCAGGCCGGGCGCCTTTCCCCCGCAGGCCCCCCACACCCAGGCCGGCCCCCGGCCCCCGTTCACCGTGCAGGCTCTCCTCCTGCAGCCCGGGGGTCTCGCTCTGCGACATGGCGGCAGGGCGAGGGCGCTGCGGCCTGCGGGTCGGGGTTGGGGTCGGCGGGCGCTCCAGGAGGGGGAGGAAGAGGGAGCGGGAACGGCGCGGTAGCTAGAGCGCGGTCCGCCCGCGGCTCCAAATGACTGACGCTCGCGGCCGGAGCTCCGCGGATAAGCGGCGGCACCGCCCACTGGCCGTGGGGCGGGGCCTGCGCGTGCGCGAGGGCGCGCGGCGCGTGCCGCGCGTGCGACGCGTGCACGGGTCGCGACGCGAGGAGGGGGCCGCGCGTGCGCAGCCGGGCGGGGGCGGGGCGCGGGCGTCCTGCAGGTGCGCGCGGGACGTGCCGGCACCGCCTGGAGACAGGCGGGCGGGAGGAGGGGCCCGGCGGGGCGACTCGTTTCCGCGACTCTGCCTGAGGCCTGACTGCGCCCCCTCAGACACAGGGCCGGGGAAGGGACGGGGGGCTGACAGTGCGGCTGCGTGTAGAGTCGGACCCGGGGCTGTGGCCCGCACCCTGCGGCCGACGGCGAGGCCGCCCCTCACCTGCAGTGCAGCGACCACCTGCTGTAAATTGGACCGACAGGAAGTCAGACAGTGTCTCTAGCAGCTGGTCCAGCAAGCCACACATCAGCCCCTGGAACAATCAGCCCAAGCGGCCAGGACTTGGTCGCTGACTGACAGCTTCCCCGATTCCTGCCGCTGTCTCCCACTCAGGACCAACCAGAGGAAGCCAAATATGACCGACGTTCGGTCCCCCAACCAAGCACCACTTCTAGTGGGCCGCGCCCCCCCGGCCCCCGCCTCCGTGGGCCTACCTGAGCCCCTCCGCCCTGGGTCACGTGGGGCTCGCCGCTCAGCACCTCTGAGTAGGAGCCACCGCTGTGCTCATTTGGGATCTTGGTTTCCTTTCTGGATGAGGATGCTCTTGGGAGGGGCGTTGGTATTCTCAGCTTTCTCTCTGGTTGTGGAAGCGCCGGCCTTCCTTTCAGCTGGACCCTCATTCTCACTTGGTCAACGTGCACTTACCAAACGACGCCCTGTCGCAGCTGTGCGCTAGTGGGTACAACCGGGGACAACAGCAAGCAACGTCCCCGCAGAGGACAAACTGCAAAGCCCCTCGGACAATGCACCTCTGCCTTGGTGCCTCTCCCAGCGCCTCGGTCCCCCTCACCCGGGAAGCTGCCCATATGGAGCCTTCCAGCCCATGAACACCGTGTGTTTCTCTGTTATTTAGGTCTTCTTTGATTTTTCTCAGCAATATCTTGTTTTCTCAGCAATATCTAGTTTTCGGTGTACAGGGTTTGCACATCTTTTGTCAGATGTATCCCTAAGTGTTCATATTTTTGTGTTATTGTGATTACTATGGGTATATTTCATCTGGTTGCTCACTGATAACATACAGAAATATACTGGACTTTTGGGTACTGTCGCATCCTGCAACCTGCTAAGCTCACTGAAACTTATAGATTTTCCAAGTCCTCTGAAGTGTCTGTAGGCAATTACCTGAAAGTGTTTAAACAGAAATGTTTCTCACTGCACCTGGTTTTCCCTCCCCGTGTGGAGCCCTCTGCAACTCCCAGCAAGTTCCAGCACTTGGAGAACCCCACATGAGGGAGGCCTGAGGCCTAGACTTTTGACAGCATCACTGTAAACGTAATGGTTTGCACAGCCCAGAGCAAAGCTCCACAGCATCGAAGGGATGCGAGTAGGAGGAGGTGATGGTGGGAGGGGGTAGGGAGAAACTGTTCACAGGCAGGTCAATTTTAGGAAAAGTTTAGGACAATTTATTTCAAACTACCCTGTCTCTCCCTCCTTGAAAAGTCTTCCTGTGTACCCAGGTGCGCCCCAGCTTGAGACCACCCTGCTGACGAAGCCCTTTTCGTGCTGGCACTGGTGGAGAGGGGGAGCAGAAGGTGGACAGGGCAGGTTGCCCCACTCACGCACCCTGACAATGTTGGGAGGCTAGGGGGCCGAGGGGAAGGGTAACGTTGAGGCTCTGTTCTGCCACCTAGGGGAGCAGACACCAGGAGGTGCTGTCTAAAGTTTATAGAACCAGAAATAGATACTTAGGTATATTATTTTTAAAAAGACCTAAATAGGAAACATGTTTAGTTCCAATATCAAAACTAGGGATAGATCGATAGGGAAATGAGCTAATCTCTTATTTTTCATGAGGGAGTCAGTAGATGCTGTCCTAACTTGAAAAAGGAGTTATTCACATCTATTTTTCAAAGCTATGTTGGTCATAACCTGAAGAACTGGAAGCAGAAGTGGTTAAAAATGGCTGCTTCTCAGGAGTGAGATAAGAGATCTCCAGTTTTCATTTTGTGACCTGTATTATTTTGATTTTCTTTGTCTGGGTGTATATTATTTTGATTTAAAAATATTCACTGAAGCCATAGCGAGGAGGGGGTGTTGAAAAGACACGGGGGCCAGCTGGAGCTCTGTGAGCAATGACGTGGCAGTGGGTTATCACCCAAAGAATGACATTCCCACGCCCATGTTAACGTAGATAAATGATTGAATAAGCAAGTAAACAAGGGAAAAGAGACAAACCTCCCACACAGAAGAATCCTGAGTAAGTGACGTAGATGTCGTGCCACACAACAGATACAAACAACACAACACGACATGCACACAACACCCATACGTGTACAATACAAAAACTACACACATGCAACAAAACATACACACAACACACATACACACACACGACATGATATACGTGCAACACAAGCACATGTACATACAACTCACACACACACAACACACAAACCACAACATACACACAACACACCCACACACAACATATGCACACATAGACACATACCATAGACACGTACAACACACACGCACAACACACAAAACATACAACACACGTGCAACACACAAAACATACAACACACGCACAACACATAAAACATACAACTCACAAACACACAAACCACAACATACACACAACACACCCACACACAACATGCACACACAGACACATACCATAGACATGTACCACACACGCGCACAACACACAAAACATACAACACACGCACAGCACACAAAACATACAACACACACGCACAACACACAAAACATACAACACACACGCACTACGCATACCACGTACAACATACATACACACAACCCATCCAACACACATAGTAACACAACATGCACAAAGACACGCATGACACACACACGTAGCCCTGTTCAGGGCCCACGAGCAAATTTAAATCTAAGAACAAACACACTGTATAAAATTCCATCGACCCTCCACCGCCCCCAGGAGGGAAGCACGACTCCCCCTAAGTGTGGGCCGCGCGGAGCGACTTCCTCCCGAGAGCACAGCGTGGACAGGGAAGGAGCCACTGGACAGTGAAGACACCTGACAGACACGGCCTCGGCCAGGTGGTCGAGGTCAACAGCAGCAGAAATGCGTCGTGTCGAGAGTACACGCCCCTGATAGGACGTGACGAGAAGGACACCTCCTCCGTGTCTTCCTTCTAGAAACACACCACCCCAGTTCAGCCACCAGACAAACCTCAGACGCTGCCCAGCAGAGGGACATTCTATAAACTCCCCGCTCCTCCAATCGTCAAGCCATCAAAACTACAGAAACACCGAGAAACCGTCACAGCCAAGAGGAGCCAAGGGGGACTCGAGTCTAAATGAAATGTGGTGCCCAGGGTCGCCTCCTGGGGCAGAAAAGGATTTCAGGTAAACACGGAGAAGATAAGAATAAAACACGCACTTTAATAATAATACATCAGTATTGGGACTTCCCTGGTGGTGCAGTGGTTAAGAATCCGCCTGCCAACGCGGGAGTCACGGGTTTGAGCCCTGGTCCGGGAAGATCCCACAGGCCGCGGAGCAACTAAGCCCGTGCGCCACAACTACTGAGCCTGCTCTCTAGAGCCCGCGAGCCACAACTACTGAGCCCACGCACCTAGAGCCCGTGCTCCGCAACAAGAGAAGCCACTTTAATGAGAAGCCCACGCACCGCAAAGAAGAGTGGCCCCCACTCGCCGCAACTAGAGAAAGCCCGCAGGCAGCAGTGAAGACCCAACGCAGACAGAAATAAATAAATTAAATTAATAATTTTTTTGAAAAAAGAAATACACCTGCAAACATACTGAGTAGAATGATAGCAAATTGAGCTCTAAAGAAGATTAATACATTACAACAGCGAGGGTCTCTCCTGGGACTGTAAGGACGGTGTAAGAGTATATTTAATAAAAGCTTAAAGAAGAAAAAATATCTTGATCGTCTTATGAAATACCCGACAGATCAAAGATTAAGAATAGGGCTTCCCTGGTGGCGCAATGGTTGAGAGTCCGCCTGCCGATGCAGGGGACACGGGTTCGTGCCCCGGTCCGGGAAGATCCCACGTGCCGCGGAGCGGCTGGGCCCGTGAGCCATGGCCGCTGAGCCTGCGCGTCTGGAGCCTGTGCTCCGCAACGGGAGAGCCCACAGCAGCGAGAGGCCCGCGTACCGCAAAAAAAAAAAAAAAAAAAAAAAAAAGAATAATCATCATTTTAGAAGCAAATAATTATTCAGTATGCATTCATGACAACACACAGACACCAAAAACAAGCTTGGTGAGCTGGGAAGGGGGTGGAGGCCCTCAGTTAATTAATTAATGTGTAAAAGACATTTAATAATGTTTGTTGGCTGCTCAACTCCTGAAGCCCTGCTCAGTGCCTGAATTCCCAACTTTTCATTCATAGGAACTTAAAATACTGGGTCTTACATCCTTAGCCTCCCTCCCAGCTGGGTAGGGGAAGAGCAGCTCTTCACTTCCTGGAGTAGCTGTGGTAGCGGCAGCCTCCGCTACCACAGTGTCTGGTGGGGCTCCAGTGCCTGGTGCCACCTGGCAACGGAACAAGCGTTTCTGTTTTGTCCAGCAGTTTCCTAACTGGGCCAGGTGTGCAGTCTGACTTGCTGTGCTGGCTGTGTAGCTGCCCTTTGTTCCTGCCATTTTTCATGGCTAGTCCTTGGGCCTCTCCAGCAATTCTGTG